AAAAAAAAAAAAGAAGAAAAAAACGAACGATGATTAATCCTGTGAGGGCGCCTCTAAGTGAAGTAGCATAAATTTCAAAGGTTACCTTTACGGTCTATGCAGATTATGCACAACCACTGGATGGAGTTCCCTTCGAGTTTGTGCCAAGACATAATCTTGTTAGCTTGCCAGCTATCTAAGCCCGGGAAGACTTCTCTGTACACAGGGATATTGGAGAAAATCATCTCGGCGACACCATTTCCCTGAGATAGTACCTCTCCCTTGGCTTTCAAATTCACATTCTGCATACTCTTGCTATGCTTCCCATTAATTTTTGGGAACTGAATGCCACCCCCATCTAATCGAAATATACCTTCCCCATTTGTTGCTGATGATGTTGTTTGCATAGCGTTTCTCAAAATCTGCTCACACGTGTGCTTAGCCCCTTTGGAGTAATTTACAACATCCTGGACTTCGCTTTTCTCTTTAAATTCATTGACTAAATCCTTAACCGAATCAGCAGTTATTTCTGTAGCTGATAACGTAGCTTGTTCCTTCAGAAACTGATAACAATATGATCAGAGATAATTAAATCGACAGAGAGAGAGAGCCAGAGAGAGAGAGAGAGAGAGAGAGAGAGAGAGAGAGTAGTTTGATATAGATATGTTTATCTCCAAGTAAACCTACTTTCATTATCTTGTGTCTGGCGCTACGTGTTTTGGCATGTTGGAGCCACTGCTTGTGTCTGTGGAAGGCAGATTTACTAGAAAGCCCCTGGTACCGCAAATACATCAGCTACGTGACGGATTACAGCTTAAGCTAATCATATCGTGAAATAATAAAATACTGAGGTTAATATCAATTCAAACTAACTGACATTATATGTTACAATCTCCACTACTTCTGCATTTGCAAGCACATGTGTCGGCGAGACGATATTGCCATTGACCTGCAAAGCATTGGGGCAAGATTAACAAATCAATGGAAAAGGATAAAAGAAAAGAGTTATTACAGCAGTGTCTAAACTAATTATGAAAATACCTTTGCCGCAAGCATGTTATTTCCAATTTCAGTGTGGATCATATACGCATAGTCAACAACAGTTGCCCCCTTGGGCAGATTTTTAATCTGTGAGCAGACAATTTTTTTATCAATCATATGCTCAATGGAGTTCAATTTTTAAGGGGTGAATCACAACAATCTTGCCTCTCCCCTCGGTGTAAATACAAAGACGCGACTCCCTAAAAGATCCTTGGTTACTGTATCTACGAATTCCCTAGAGCTCATATTCCCAACAAATTCTTCTTGCCACTCCCTTATTGCGTTGAGCCAGCCAATCTAGAGAGAGGAAAGCATTAGAGTTAGTTACTGAAAAAACGAGACTGAAACAGAGAAAGACGCATAGGACGATTCTGACCCTGAGAGCAACATTAGCATTATTAAGGTAAACTGTTTTTGCTTTGGAGCCATTCGGTGTAACATGTCTGACCAAGCCATTCACAAAAACTTTGCCACTATAATGAGTGGCAATCCCTCTTTCAGCAATCAAATCCATCTCTTCAGTTCTAATCTGCTAACCAAAAAGTAAAGTGACAAAGAGGAATTTCTTCCCAACACACAATATACATAAAGACGTAACTCAAAGTATAAACAACCATAACGCCAAACCTGAACTTCTAGTCTAAACATGCTCTCGTAAAGAAACGGAATCACAGTAGTATGGAGACTCTGATAGCCGTTAGGCTTTGGAGTGGCAATATAATCCTTCATCTGCTACCAAAACAAAAATATGACAATGTTCATATGCTAGATGGAGGCATACATACTAAAAGTATCTCAGAAGCGACACATAGTGATTAGAGAGCATACAGCTCGCGGGATTGGGGTCCAAATTGCATGTACCAGTCCAAGAACATGGTAACATATCTGCAACAGAAAATAGAGTTAGGAAAAAGGTGTAAATGAATTCCACTTCAATTAGATGTTGTAAGCCTCCACATATTTTCACCTGTTGTGTGCTACATAGAGGCCCAACTCCAATGCCCGACTTTGGTTTAATAATAATACGAAGCTGTGTGTCAGACATTTGCATACGTAAGAAATAGTTGCAGACTGGCTCATCAACTACATAACTAGAATAAGCTAAAATGATAGACCTGGGCAATCTGGTTAACTTCATTTATCGAGCTTTCAGATTTAAGAACTGCTTTATAGATGCTGCATGTGACCAAAAGACAAAAGAGCCATTGGAACATTACATTTATATACACGGACGAAGACATCAGTATATATTTCTATTTCTGACCCCAGATATTGCATTAAAAATTTGTAGTGACTCAATCCCTAAATATAACTTAACATTAATAGGAGAACATGTACTGAACAAAAAATTTACTAAGTCGAAGGACTAGAAAATCTAGTACGGAAAAATCAACTAAGTACCTGTACGGTTCCTTGCACACGGGACGAATTTCAGTTTTCACAGCCAATAGGTTCAAGAATTGGTCATCCTCAATCCTCGTCATTAAAATTTCATTTGCCTAATTAAATGAGAAATGAACAAGATTAGCTAACTCATAAAAGCAAAATCTAATTATCAACAAATGCACAGGCAAGGCTGCCAAATGGGAGCACTACTGACTGCAGGAGTCCCAGTTAACTAAAAAAGCTTACCTCTTTGATGTCTTTTTCATGTTCTCGGTCAAGCTCTGCCACTCTTCTCTTGATCTTCGCATGATCTTGAGGATTTGTGTACATAAATGCCAGATTTTCAAGTTCAGACTGCAAGGAGTAACTTAGAGATGAGTACAAAATTCTGTAGAGACAAACTTAAAGAGATGGACATAACCAATATGGAAAGCATACCTCATGCAATACAACGAGTGGAGTATTCCACATATACAAACTTAAATAGATGGATCACAACCAATATGGAAAGCAGATTTCATGCAATGTGACAAGAGAGACATAGCAGGTATGTTAACTATTTTGAGTTCTTGGGTAGGTAATTAAGGGAAGGAAATAAGTTATCATTAGAATTTAATGAATGGGAAAAAAGTGTGAGCTTGGAAAAAAAAAAAAAAAAAAAAAAAAAAAAAAAAAAAAAAGAAGCATTCAGAGAGAGGCTGGAAAATGTAAACTAAATAATTTATATTATATTACTTGAAGATTAAGATACCTGAATGGCGAGATTTATCAGAAAATTGCACATGCAGAAAGTAAAAGGTTTAACAATCCAGTTCTCCAGGAGCTATGCACTTCTAGCTATTTAAATTACAGAAACCAACTCCTAATGCAGTTTCATCGCAATTCAATAAGCAAACGGTTCTAGTGCCACCATGAATAGAAAGTTGTTGGAAAGGATAGTCACATTAAAACCTCCAAACAAAAACCAATTATCATTTGTTCAGGAACTGAAACAAACTGATTTAAATATAAAAATTAAAAAAGCTCCAGAGTCAAGATTAGTGTCATTAAACCGAACAATCTTTTTGAATCTCTGCTGACCCCTGAATCTTAGTAATTATTATAAAGTTTAGATATGCAGCCTAGTCGAGAATGCCAAGGCTCGAATAATATTTTAGCTATGATAAGAAAAAAAACATAAATTACTTCTGGACTGAACACGTAAGGAGTCAATCAAGAGAACAAAAAATGGCATACCTTTATCTGGTAAATTCCAAGCAGTTTCGCTAGCGGAGCAAAAACCTGAAGGGTCTCCCTAGCTATACTGGACTGAAAACAATAAATTATTATTAGGGTTGGATCTAAATTAAGGTGAGACAAAAATGCAAAAAGACATACCTGCTTATGTGGAGGCATATGTGAAAGAGTTCTCATGTTGTGTAATCTGTCAGCCAATTTGACAATTATAACACGGACCTGATACACCATAACTTTATTGTTGAGGACATATTACACAGAATGACAGAAATTTGCTGAAGTATGCTTAAAAAATGTAAGTTACCTCTTCAGTCATAGCCAAAAACATCTGATGGAGGTCATCTGCTTTAACATCTTGAACGGAATTGTTCTCATCCTTTGATTTGAGTTTTCCAAGTTTAGATACCTGGTTAGCATAAATAAATCACAGCATGTAGGAAATGATCATCTATAACAACCCACTTTATCTTCAACTCGATACGGCACACAAGAAACTAGTTTTTTCTACTTTACTAAAGCATGATTTATAGACTCAATGCTCTACGGATAAAGTGAGTGAGTGGGTGTGTGTGTGTGTGTGTGTGTGTGTGTGTGAGAGAGAGAGAGAGAGAGAGAGAGAGAGAGAGAGAGAGAGAGAGAGGAGGCTTATGCAAGAAGCTTTAACATATTGAACTACCTTTGTCTCCCCTTCCACGATGCGACGAACAGTGATGCCAAACTCTTCCTCTATTCTTTCAAAAGTAACAACATTTGTATCCTCCACCGTATCATGTAACAACCCAGCAGCTATTGACTCCCAATCCAATTCCTGACACAGAGAAGCCGAATAAAGATGTGACCAGAAACTTTTAGCAGATGAAGCAAGATGGTACTCATCGATGTACACAGAAGCAAATGGAAAAAATCTGCATAACTCACAAGTTCTCCAAGAATCTGAGCAACTGCAACAGGGTGAATAATAAAGGGCTCTCCACTGCGTCTTTTTTGACCATCATGCGCCTTAAAAGCCAACTATAAAGCAAATGAAACATAAAGACGCATGCAGAAAAGCTTTCAGATATCATTATGAATTATAAATGTGAGTGTCCTAGTACGTTAACTTTTTTAAATTTACGAAACATGCAGTACACAATAAGACCAATATAAACTTACATTCAGGGCCTTACGGACCAATTGTTGTTCCCTTGAAGGAAGATATGAGATGCAAGATCTAAGATCCTGCGAGCATAAACAACCATGTATATCATTCGCAATATGAAATCAGTGTGCTATAGATGGAATGACTTTATTTAAGGCATTGATGCAGCAGGCAAATTTCTCAATGTTGGATTGGACGATAAACAATAATCATCATCTTAATGAATGATGTATACATCTTAATGATTGATGTATACAAGAGCTATAGGAACTACTATTTAGCTACAAATTAGGATAAGACCATTATGTTTTTAACAATAATTCAGGACCAGATTCAGTAGTCAAGGGATTCTATAAAAGTCCTTTGTGCCGAAACGTCACAACATTGGGGCTAAACTATTAGGTATAATCATAATTCACCTCAACAGCTACATCATTTCCATTCCATATGCTTTTTATGGCAATCCACACTGTGAATTTAACTACAAAATCTGGACCTCTAAATCCAGTTCTCTGTTACTTTTATGTTTCATGTTTACACTTATTTCCACTATAACAGTGTTTTTTACAGGCTTCCAAACTTCTAATCTACCCATTATAAAAAGTCCTCTTCTAAAGGTTCTACTTTTGCACTACTCAGAGGAATTCATTGTATCGGGAATCACCAAAACATCGTCGCCAATTATTTTCCACATACCTCCCACAGGGTATCTGGCGTAACCTCATAATGTTCTGTAGAAAAAGATACCGGAGAACAATATAACTTCCAGTTGCTGCTGCCACGAACCGCGGTGCTTGAGCTGCAAGGCTTCTTTGAAATGGGAAAACTTGAGGCCTCGTATGAGCACCGCTGTCTCCAGTTACTTTCTTCACATCTCTAGCACAAAATTAATGCATGAATGTCGATAGTTAGAGGCTGAAAACGGAACTACTGAATTAAAAAAATAAAAGAGATGAAGAAATTATCTACAGAAACTGCAACTACAGTATAGGTACAAATGATTATCCTGCAGAACAAGACGATTATTCGACTATTGCCATAATCAAATTATAGGCACAAAAGTTTACACGAGTGGTATTTATATAAAATCCTCCCCACACATTCCTAAGTTCCTAACACACTGGCATCCCACCACCTTCAACTCTAAGAGAACAAGAGATTGCCGAAAGCCACGCAAAACATTAACCTCACTAGCTGTTTCAGAAATATAATATATCGATAATGGCCAGTGTCCTATTAAATTTTACTTATCAAAATCTTGAATAACAAAACTCACACATCCAATGTGATTTCTTCTACCAATGCTTCCACACGACTGTGGAGGATGAGCCGTGCTTGCCATGAATCCGGTCAGCACTCTTGGAGCTCTTGATGCGCACGATAGCATACTGCACTCATATTTTCCACTCACGTCCCCTTTCCAAAGCTTACATACATTAACACATTCTACAGACACTGCCAATGGAGTTCATCAAACACAATATCAATAAATCAACTCAATCATACAAGCTCCAAGCACACCACATCATCTGAATAAACATAAACAGTCTAACGCATTGAAAATCTTCGGCAAAATCTACGGACACTGTCAGGAGAGTTGCACCAAACAAAATATCAATAAAACAAGTCAAATCATAGAAGCTCCAAGAGCACACCACCAACATTTGAATAAACATAAACATTTTCACGCATTGAAAACCTTCGGAAATTAAATGCCTCCTAGAATCAGCATATGAAAAGGAAAGAAAATGCTCAGAAAAATAAGGAAACAAAATCTTCACCGAAACAGAGGAATCATACAATTATCCGATAACATCACCTGACGTTAAAAAAGGAGAAGCCATTTCTAAAGCGAAGCACAGGTCAAAGAGCCAGTCATTGAACAGCGAACGACAGCACCTTTACAACTGCAATCACAACAAAAGCCGATTACCAGGCTGAATAAATCGGAACAGTAACCGTTTCTATGCGCCGCCGCATCTGTGTGGCGGCGATAACAGTGATTGTGGCGGAAGAAGTTTGGAAACTCGGCGATTCGCGGCGGAGTTAGAAAGGATTCAGATTGAAAGAAGTTAGTGAAGATAATGAGAGGAGATGGAATGGATTTTCAGTCGAGGCCACACAATTGCCCGTATGGTAAAGATATTTTGCGTTTATTTATTTATTTATTTATTTATTTTTTCCCTTCAATTTATATTGTTTGATCGACTAATTATAATAAAAAATAAAATATAAAGGTTTTACTGGTTTTGTAGGTGGAATTTGTTAGGTGTGGTTTAAGTGGATTTTATGAGAAAAAAGAAAATATGGATTGTGTTGTGCTGACTGTGAAGGGGGAACGTGGATGTACTAACACGGCGTTAGACCTCGACACGTGGCACTTAGCGTAATAATGTTGTTTTTCTCTTGGTCATGCCAATGTTTAAAAAGTACTACCTCAACTTTTTTCCGCAAATGTAATTTTGACTTTATTAATAATTAATTAAATAATTTTTTTTTTAATATATTTTTTCATTATTATCCTTATTCAAATTTTTGACTCGGACTGGCTCGGCAGGTCGATCCGGGACCCGGTCGACCCAAAGTCGGACCGGTCCGGATGGGCTATTTAGACCGAGCAACAAAGGATCTGGCCAAACACGGTCAACCCGGTCTTGACCCGGCCGACCCGGTGCATTGACCCAGCCGAGTCAACTCGGTTGACTAGCCCATAAATATTTTTTTAACTTTATTTTTTTTTTAAAATAAAATTATGTATATATGTTTATATGGCAATATTATTGTTTGTCCCATTTTTGTTGCGTTTTTCGTATTCGTTTTACCTTTCTTTTCCCCCCATTTTATGTCTTTTCTTTTGGTTTTGGTCCGTTTTGTTTCTTATTGCGTGTTTTCATCTATTTGGAGTCCTTTAGGAGTTTTTGTTTGTTTTCCCGTTTTTCTGCGTTTGTTTCGTCGTCGTTGGTGTGCAGGTCGTGAATTTCTGGAGGATCGGATGTCAGGAAAATATTACTCGGGCGAGCTTAGTTAAATAGAGGAGTTCGTTGGCAACACACAGGAAAAAGCGGAGTCAAATTCCGAGTTCAGATACGTGCAAACGGGCCTGAAAACTGCAACTATGCCAAGGAGATCCTTCACCGCGGCCGGCGACGGTACTCCCGCGGCCGCGGTGAACAAATTGTGTGCGCTCCCAGTTTTACTCGCCGCGGCCGCATAGAGGGAGTCGCGGCCGCGAGACAACCTTCATAGCAGAAAAATTCGCGGTCGCGACGCGAGACTCTCCGCGGCCACGGAAGCCGCGTTTCCAGGATTTTAAGAACAAACTTTTACGACTATTTTAATTATGTTCCAACCTATGTTTTGAGTTCTCTCGTACTTTTCCCTTCCAGAACTTGTTTTTCTTCACTCTCTTCATCATTATGAACGTAGAACAAGTATTTGAACTCGATTTTCGCTATTGCTTTTGGATTAATCGTGTTTATCGGATTCAACATTCAACTTCTATTAATCGTAAGTTTTCTATACGTTTAATCCATGGATATCTTTGCTTTGATTGTGGTTGTTTGTGTTGATGAATCGATCATGATCGGCTAAATTCATTTGCTAGGGAATAGGGGGTCGATGTTTTGATTTCGATTGCAATTGTGGGCGTTCGTGATTGATCTTCATATGCGAGTTGAGCTTTTTAAAGGGTTTTCAATTATTTAGCTTGAGTTTTGAGAATTGTTGAAGGGTGACACTTCAACTTCCAATTGATTTGATGGAATCCGATTAATTCGTGCTTGATGATATTAATTCTTAACGGACTAGCTGATTAACCACCCTCTAGTCCACTTTAATCGACTCTTAGAACCGAAAGGGGAGGAGTCGGTCGAAATAGGCTCGCATAAGATAGACTTGTTCGTAACTGTATTGCCTAGGAGTTAAATGACTTATTAAATTTGTCGTTTTAGCTTGTTCTCTTGTTACGAAGAGTTATTGAGAATGAGTACTTGAACGTACAGGTTATTCAAATCACTTAACTGAACAATCACTTGCCTATTAATTGCAATCCGAACCAAAACGGATCTCCCCGACTTCCTAGCTTCTCAAATCCTGCTTGTTCTTTGTTGTTCATTTGCTATTTCCATTGCTTATTTAAACTTTCGTTTGATTTTAGTAGTTGATAATTAAAAACCAAATCCAATCTCGGAATTAGTTTGTTTAGGAATTCTATTTCTTTTATTTGTGGTTGAGTAAACGTACAGAATAATCCGGCTAACTTTCCTCGAGAGATACGACCCGGTGTTCGAATCTTTCGATTCTACTCCAGAAAAATATTTACAACAATTATTATGAGATACATATTAGTAACACTTTAATATACAAATTTTATACACAAAACATTTAATTTTGTTACTTTTATGTATATTTATATGAAAAATACTCTATATATAATTTTAAAAATTTTAAAATTAATTATCTGGTTCAGAAATTGATCAGGTGACCCGACGGTTGAACCAGTGACCCGGCGGTTGAACTGGTGACCCAATGACCCAGAGACCTGCTCGGGTTGATTACCGGGTCGGGTTTAAAAACTATGCCCTCATCTAGCTAATAAATACATTACGTCTTCTCATATTCAGTATTCATTTTTTTCTCAAAATATCTATCTCTATCCTCATTAATGTGGATTATTATTGGCAAAAAAAAAAAATTAATTATTGTGCAACTTCTCGAAATGACACCTATTAAAAAAAGGAGGGAGTATAATCCTTGCCTTGGATTGTAAAAATATGGCTCTTTTACACATATTGTGGCTCTTTCTAATAATTGCACATATATTAATTATAATTTTTATTTACAATTAAACCACAATCCTAAAAATATGGCAAACGGTTTGTTCTTGTTTGAAGGGTCAATTGCTCCCATAATACCCTGCATAGATGTCTGTACAGCTTCGAAGTAATGTTTGTGCATCATTGGAGCGTCATCCCATATTATATGAGAAGCACGAATTATCAATTCCGCCAGAGGGCTCGACTGATTGATGTTGCAAGTAGATTCCTAGTGTGGATTCAATGGTATAGCAAATCGAGAGTGCGCAGTTCGGCCACCTGGCAGCAAAAGAGATGCTATTCCGCTAGATGCAACGCATCACGCATAAGACTATGTTACCCTTGGATCTCAAACCAACAGATAAGGTCCTCCACAAATACGTCTTCTCAGTTCCACCATAACCGTATACAAAAACCACACCACCTTGGCCTGATTCAACGGTAGACATAATTCTGGCGTAGACACTCTTCTGTTCAGCTGTCATGTTTTGAAGAAGCATATCATGTTCAATAACGAGGGCCTTTCGATCATAATTCAATTCATCTAATATCATACGATTCGAAGTTGAATCCATGTTGTCCCTATCAGGAAATGGCATAGGTGAATATTCTCGAAGACTTATACCACGACATCTCAATAAAGTCTCAATCTCAGCAAGGGCTAGGTTTTGAATTTGTTCCTCAGTAAGGAGCAAATCTATATAAAAAAAAAACATATAAACGAAGGTCAACACAATTTAAATCTTATTAACAAATTGTATATTATTTGTCCCGTTTTTGTTGCTATTTTCTTTGGTATTTTGTGTGTCGTCGTTTCTTCCGTTTTAGGTCTTTTCTTAGGTATTTCCGTCCTCTTTTGTCGTTTCTTGCATTTTATCTTTATTCTGGTGTGTTTAGTATTTTCTGCGTTCTTTTTCCTATTTTCTCCGTTTTTCGTTTCTCTTCTCGGTGGTGCGATTTCAGGTTCTAGATCGATCGGTTGGCGAATTTCATTCGTGATGAAAAGTGGATGGTTCGAGCAGCATTTTGTGGGACCCAAGCATGCAAGGATCGAGTTCCCAGCTCGGGCAGTACCCGAGCGACGAAGCCGAGCACACGAACCGTAAAAAAAGATCACATTCTTGGACCAACGGAGCCTTAGCGCCGCTAAGGCCCGTGTGTTAACGGCACTTTGGATTTCAACGATAACAGAAGCCGGCAGCTAAGGCGCCTTAGCGGTGCTATGACCTTAGCGCCGCTAAGGTCTGTTTTGAAACTGACGCGGGTTTCATGGGATTTGAATTGGGGAAAGGTTTAGGATCGATTGGGGGCGTAAATGGCCATTATTGAGACTCGTTTTACACAGTTTTTTTTTATCTCTAGAACATATATTCCTCTTGCTTTTGATCTTGGATTGGATTTTGGAGCATAAAAACTTCTTTTCTAGCTTTGGATCTTGGATTGCTCGTTGTTCTTTCTCGACATTGGTTTTTCTTATCAATCGTAAGCATCTTTTCTCATTTAATTATGATGTTTTGTGCTTGGATTGCTATGAATTCTTGTGTTAATATTACAATGAGTGGCTAAATTCATTAGCTAGGGTTAGGGGATCATCGTTCCGGTTCGATTTCATTTATGTGTTTGATTAATTTGCTCAATCTTTTCGAGTTGTGCTTAACCTAGGGTTTAGATGTTTGATCACCATCTCAATCTAATTAATCGATTTTGAAACCAAAAGGGGAGAAATCGTTCGACCTAGGCTCGTTAATAATAGACTTGTTCGGTGACGTATTGTCTATGTGCTATTCGATTCGTGATTGATTTGTTTACGTTTATCCTCTTGTTTCGTGAGATATTGAGAATGAACCTCTAGACAAGTTAGTTTTTGAGTCCTCTAGTCGAGTAATTGATTGTTCGCAAATTGTTTTGAGAACCAGAGACGGTATCCCCGATACTCTAGCCCTTTTATCATTATTCGAATTTAAACTTTAAATTGTGAATTTGAAATTGCTAGTCTTGTTCTTGTTATTCGTAGTTTATAAAATCAAACC